AGGCAGAGCTGATCTTCAGTCTTGGTGTTTTCTGACATTGCAGTGAATTTTTTCCTTACCAGTTACTTATTTGTAATTTGTTATGGTTCAACACTCCGCACAAAGCACGGCTAGTCATCTTGTTCACTGGTGTGCGCATGTGTGCTCCTGTTTTCCTTCTTATAGTTCCCTCCATTCTGAGATCATTCTTTTAAATGTTTTAATTTTAAATAAATGCATGTCAATGAATGTTATGTCACTGAGACATTTTTTCTTGTTGAATATAGCCCTCTGTATGTTCACTTTCCCAATACTTTACACAGAATGCTTACTATACTAGACCTGCAAAACCCTGGTGAGTGTCACGCAGCATTACAGCATGTTTTGTCTTTTAGTTGGGTTTTTCCCATTATTGTGGTAACTGCTGAAGTAAACATTCACTGGGTTAGGTCAACTGGGTATGTAATTACCCATCTGCAGTTAGCACCTAGAGGAGAGAGTCACAGAGGGAAATGCGTGGGTCACAAAGGTCTGTTCTCTGTGGGAAAGGAACTCTGGGCCAGGATAGGAGAAGTTGACTTCCATTCCCAGGAGAGTTTTATGTAGTGATTCTGATGCCACTGCTCACCCACCAAACAGAAGGGTGTGGCTTCTACTCACAGGACAGCAGGCTAAGTGGTCTTGGTCCAAATTTAGTTCACATCAGAGTAACTTCATTTCTACTGTAGGCTTTTTGAGCTGCTGCAGGCCATGTCAGCCCCAGAGATAATGGTTATTTAATACATAAGGAAAAATCAACTCCAGCTAGTTTAGAATTGAGCACAGATTTCTTCCTCACAGAAGAAAGGAACAAAGATCTAGAATATATATTTTCTATGCCAAGAGCATCCTTTCTTTACACAGACTTAGGTAAGACCAAAGCTTCCATTTCTCTGAAGGGATCGGAAGCTCTGCCTTCTGGTGTACTGATCACCCAGGATCTATCTCGTCATCATACTCTGAGATCTGAAAGATACTGAATGTGGGGTACCATAAAGGCCTAGCGTTTTTGATCCTTGATGCCTGTCAAATTTATGTGCATCCTAAAGTCCCTCATGAGCCAAGAAGGAATTGCAGGTTTTTAAACATCAAGTTTTCATAATGTTCCCTTCATCCTTCCAAACCAGGGAGGATCCCTTCATTCTTCCAGTTTCACACCTAAGTTTCTCAAGCCAACAGTAAAGTCCCAGGTGCTCCCGTCTCATTTTGCCTAGCCTGTCCTCAGCACCTACCCTGGCCTCAGCACCTACACCGTCATCTCTGTGTCTTGAGACTGCTCTTCTCACCATCCATAGGACTTATTTTGTCTTTGTTTTTTTACTGACAATAGGATACCCCAACACCCTTCTTTTCCCTTCTCACAAAAATTTCAGTCTGCTTGATTGCACAAGCCACACTCAACTAGAAATAGTCCGAGAGTCCCTTGCACTTATTAGAAAAATGACTGAGAGGGAGATAATGTGGTATATCCCTGAAGCTGAAAGAAAAAGTTAGAGGGAAAGAAATGGGGATAAAGGAGGCAGATCAAATAATTAAAAACGCTATGAATTGAGAATCTGGTGGAATAAGGAAACTAAAAATGGACTGATATTGTTGCACAACAGACACTAGGAGAGACTACTCAGCGGAGAAGCAATTTTTTTTGGCTGCTAATCATCCCTTCTCTTTGCCAACATAGAGAGTACTACCTTCCATTTGAGCAACAAGTGCCTAGCCTCAGCACCCACGATGGCGCTGAAGGAAGGAAAATTCACAGGCACATCCTCATACTCAGGATTTGGGGAGGGTGTGCACCCCAAACTCATATACCCTCACTAGAGTTTGAATTACTTATTTGCATAATGTGGATGTGAGATTAGATCTGGGTTCTTGGAGTTAGGTGTGCACGAGGATCATGCTGGCAGAGTTTCCAAGTTGCCCACCCTAATCAGCCATCTCCTTCTCAAAGCCAAGAGGGGCAGCGGGGTGTCAGGTACCGGACAATACTTCCCTCCCTAGGCTCTCTGCCCAAAGTGATAAGGGCCTCTTGTAGGTCCAGAACTCTCCACACAGGACTGATGTTCTCTCTGCTTTATTTTTTTCTCCATTGTTAGATTCCCAGATAGACAAGAATTTGCCTCAAATTTAAATTTAATTGTGCAGGTGTTGGTAATTTCCTAGGAGTGAACTCAATGGCAAAACAGAAGGAAGCCATGATCCTGAATAAATGTATTCAGCAGAATTACATTGCTAACCTGGACTGCTCATTTTGGAACTGTTATATGAGAAAAAAAAAGAACATTTATATTCTAAAATCACTATTTTCTGAGATTTTATTACATGACTTTGGCCCTATCCTAATGAATTTAATAACATCAGGAGTTGTTACTAAGTATAAATTGTTGGGACAAAAATCCCAGAAATTAGGACTGTAGAGATCAGACAAGCAGAATTCTGTTCTACTATAACATGTAGAATTTTTTTACAAGTATATTAGATTTGCTTCAGTGCTCACTTGAACATCACTGAATTAGATGAACTAAAAGCTTTTTCTAATCATAGTACTGATGGGGGAGAGGAAAGGTGGTCACCTCTGTATTTAGGACTTTTGAGGATGATACTGAAGCAAAATAACTCAAGTCAATTCAGAGGTTCCGCATTCTACACAGTCTCCCAGAATAGCAAAGAAATTTTAATTTTTTAATCTGAAAATTCTTTTTTATCTGAAAATCCTTTGTCACAGAATACATTTTGAAGCAAACACAAGGACACTGTAAGAGCTATACATGTTGCCAAAAAAAATTGGTTGAGAAGTCAAAAGAGATATTGCACAGCCAAAATGCATCATTTTTATTCCTCTATGAAATAACTGGAAATTTGGGATGACTTTTAAATACTTAATGTTTGCAAAGTCTGCTAAACTATTTGAACACCATGTATAATAATCTATCATATATATATATATGCACAATCACTTATCTTTATTTGATTTTAGAAAATTAACCCATAATTATACAGAAAGATGTTTCTGAAATGCTCCCAAATAAATTCAACCTCACAAGATTATTTTAGGAATTAAATGATAGGTATCATTATTATGTTAGATCAGGGTACAATGTATGCTAAATATTCAACTGAAAAAAATTCAATACATAAGGTTGTCAAAGGTTGATATCTTTAATATGTAAATAGATTATTTAGTTTAATAAGACAAAAATGAACATTCGCATAGAAAAATAAGCAAAGGATACAAACAGGAAATTAACCTCAAAAGAAATATATTCAAACATTTGAAAAGTGTTGTCCTTTATACTAAATGTAATGCAAATAAAAGCAATGTACTATCATTTTTAATACTGATTAATCAGAAGAACTGAGATTAAGAAAATAATGTCAAACTGGCCTAGGAACAGGAAAGGAGACATTCTCATGCTCTCCTCCTGGGGACGCAAACTGATACATTCCCCATCTTTCTGGATTGCACCTGGAGCTAAGTAATTGGAGCTAGGTCCTCTGTACATTTGGTTTCTTTACTCTGCCACTGACACTCTTCCTTCCTCTTATGCACTCTGTAAGTAAGAGACTAACTCAGCCACACTGTCAAGGTCTGCATTCAAGGGCCCTTGTAGGCCCTGGGGCTTATCACAGAGGATCTAAGTCACGGCCCTGGGAGGCCTGTGGGCTACGCCTGTCTTTGCCAGCTGGAGCTGTTTCAGAAACTTCATGTTCTTTACAGGAGAATATGGACTGAGCTCTGTAACCTGTCACATTAAACGCGCCTGCTGAAGTCCTGTGGGGCACAGGAAATAGGACCCTGTGAAGAGGAAAGAGGAGGGGAAGCAGGAGCAGGCTGGAAGGGTGAGCAGGCCAGGCCCAGCTGAGCTCCCTTTCTTCTGTCCTTACATCTGTCCCTTCTTCCCCTCAACTGACTTCTACATTCTGTCCTCTTAAATAAATTGTGCTCTCATTACATCTCTCCCACGTGCTCCCTGCTTGGCTTCTGCATTCTCTTTTCCTTTTAGCCTTTATAACACTCAAGTTCATGTGTCCTTTTCAGTGTGGCTTCCTTGAGTGTCTGATTACTGCACAGTCTGATAATGCTAACAGACTTCACT